AATGTTTAGTGAGATCACTTTTTGAAACAACTTTCTAAGGTACATTCTTGTTTTCCTCATTCCTAGGAGTCATTTTTTAACAGTAAAGAGCAGCCTCTCAACAACAGCAAGAAAACTAAAAACAGTTGAATTCTTTATTACGTCTGTTAGTCGGAGTGTTGAACTCAGAGAACAACTCAACTAAAATGACTCTTGAGGGGCTTGGTTTGGAATACAAAGCTTTCTTTTTTATCAGATACAGTAAATATATAATTGCAGCAACAATGCTGAATATTCATAGAAAAGAGTATATTGATAGTAGACAGGGAATCTGGAGAAGGCCACAGTTTCACTGAATTGCCTAAGAAGAGACGTTGTGGTATAATACGGTTTGAACTAAGCGGTTGCTTCTCCACAACGTCAGTACTTCAGAAATCGTAGGTCTGAATTTGACAGGGATAACCTAATTACTAAGATCCAATGTGACTTCTTCAGATAATACACACTTATTTACTCATCAGAAAATGATGTAGGAGAATTTACTTATATAAGTTATAGAAGACAGGTTTCATTGGAAAGTAGAGGTGGGGAGGAAGTTAATGTGATGTTACTCTACATCGTGATCGACTTCATGGTCGGGACGGTTTCAGTTGTAATTTCAGTTAATATAATTCAACTTAGAGTTTTGCCCTCAGATTTGTATAGTGTATGATATGATAGGTTAGTGTAGTACTGTTGTCTCTAACTGTATCAAATGTATCAACTATTCGATCAACATGTGTCTTGAATGTATTTCGAAGTGCAAAATTTGAGATGCAGAAGTGACTTTCTAATGAAAGTACAGTTGCTACTTGTTATTATGAGAAAACCTTTTTTTTGTATAAATGTTAAAAAAATAGTTAGCTTTTATTTTTGTTAATTAAACTGAGTGTTTTAAGAAATTTGAATAAATTGGCCAACGTGTAGCAACGCAAATATACCACATCCAACAAAGAAAAAATTATGTTGCATAATTGCAAAATAAAGAATACACTTTTCAAGTCTATCTGTATTTGAACGTAAAATATTACATATTAAAATCATTGTACTTTTACATTACTGGCGAAACATTTTACGTTTTCAGCGTCGAAAGATGGCAAAACATTCAAAGTCGATAAGAACCATCAAAATCTGAAGTGGACAAATTAAGAGAAATGTGAAACAAATATGTAGTCAAACGTGAATTCTTATCATAAAAATTAGTCCTAATGGTTTAAAATGTTTCACTAGCTATTTCCTATTTCACATATACTTCTATTTGTATGTCGTTAAACACAAAACCAGACAATGAGCTATATCTGCTGTACCTACCACGGGTATCGAAACTCGGTTTCTGGAGTTATAAACCTTCAGGCTTACCGCTGAGCCAGTAGGGAGTTTTATCTCCACAAATAACGTTTCAAGTAAACATTTCTGTCATCTTGGTATTGAACATAGGGCCTCCTTGCAATGACTTATAGGAAACGATAGATAGATTTGAAACCCTTCAAGTACAAATAGGGGGAATGTGTAAAATAATAACTACAGTTTAAGTTAATGTTTATAGCAACCATTAAGCTGATTATTTATTCAACTACATTTTTAAATCTTCATGAAACATATGGCTAACAAATTACTGCACGAAAGACGAAGGGTAAAAAAATCATACTCACTGGTAATTCTGATTTTTCTTGTTTTTCTTAGTATTCATCAAAAACAAATAATTCGGTTACTTTCCACCACTACATGAGGCCTGTCTACCACTACATGACGCCTACTTTATTTATTTACTTCGCGCTTCCATGCAGCACTAAAGGGCTGTGAATTCGGCGAAACTAGTCTGCTGCAGCAGAAGTAGCGAATCAAAGAAAAGATCAGGCCTCTACATAATTTTTTTTTTCGCTGAACTTCATGTTTTGGTGAATAAAAGAAATTAACAACTAAATGCCATTATTTTAATTGGTCTAATAGAAGCTTTATTCAATAATAGTATATCATACCATCCTCTTGTAACTTGTTTGCGGCGCCCACTAGGTTTTTCATTGCAATATCAGAGCCTATCTGACGTTACATCATGCAAAGTCTTAGTTCAACTATTGTTTATATCAAGCTTTAACGTGAAGAAAGCCTTATTTGGCGAACCATGACATTTAGTAGTAACACGTGTGTGATATTACATCACAATAGCACTGATAATATTTTAAGGCGTTCTTCGTTATAATTGAAAACACGTTCTGCAGTAATTATATCACACCTGGCTCATGTTTTAATCCTTACTGATGAGTAAAACCAGATACGTACCATAGCAACATCATCCGTCTGCAACTTCAACCTATACAAGGTATGTCTTTCTACGTACAGTATGTAAACCCTTTAAACGGAATTGATTAAGGATATATACAATTTATAGTCATCTAAATTATTCTATAATTGCGTTACCCACCCAAGTCAAGTACAGGCTAGATACAGAGATCGTACAAGTTAGAAAGAAGCATGCGATTGTGAAACATGTTCATAATCACGTGCCCACCAACAAGTTTAGGACCAAATACTCGTTCCTGTGATAATTCGACATAGTTTATCAACCTTTAGAAAAGTTACCAATAATCAAGTATTAAATTTGTACGTGCTTTTTTTTTTAACCAGTAAATGGGTTTCAAAGGAAATCAGAGTTTGGTGTACTTCTGTAAAATAGAAGGAACTTAAAGATCAGCGTTTGAAAAATAATTAATTGACATACTGAACTCAAGATAACCGAAAACCTGTGATAAATAACATACTAAAATCTATGCAATTCACTATACATCTGTTAATAGATACATGCATTGAATCATCAGTTTTAAGGTGTTTTTACTTTCAACTGCGCATGATTTACTTTTACATAGTTGATACAGCTTTGAAACATATGTTCATAGAAATCGAACGACTCAACTTAGCTTGCGGCATCAATCTATAGGCAGTCTGTGTTAGCAGAATGATGACAATGTGCTGTTCTAGGACTTACATCAGTTACGAGAGACATATCTAGAATTATATTTGACTTGGCATATACTCACGCGATATAGACATCAAGTATGGAGCTTGTTATTGAATGAATATATTGTGTGATAACAGCAGTACAAATAGTAGAACCCGTCCTTTTGTGTATTGTTCAGTAATTGAAGGTTGGAAGCTGTGATAACTAGACAACAACAAGTGCACAACGTTTATCTTTCATTCAAGCTCATGTGAATTGTTTGTTGATCAACCAACAATAAATTAAAGCGGTACTCAGTGTATATTTTGAGGATAATTAGAGCAAATTTAGATTTGAGATATCACGAATTTAATTATATACGTATATAATTATTCGTATCATTATATTCAACTGTTAATTACAAAGAAATTTTAAGTTATTCTGATGTTTTTTTCTTACCAGTCTAATTGCTACTTCGTTATATTCAAATGTCGGTAATTGTTCAGCGGTTTCAGTTTAGCAACATAGCCGATTTTAAGTCTCAAAACGTCCTAGAAGATTAACCTGTTCCTATATTAAAACCAACACGTGATTTTATTTATAATCATCCTGTACTAGTCTATTTTGAGCTTCTCATGGACACGTGTAAAAAGTTGAGGGCTGTAGAACATGAGGAACAAGTGAAAATGGAGCCAAACATGCTACAAAGACTGATTGACATCTAACGGCATTTTTTTTTTTTTTAATAAGACATTTTGTCTGCTCTACAATTGGGGAATAATACTTTAATATTATAACCCCTTGAAACGAAGAATTAGATCCCCAACTCGAAGAAATCTTCACAATGATATATTTACCGTAAAAGTCACAAGTATTTGTTGCCTCTCGTTCTTTACAAATACTGGCAAGTTGTAACAAGAAGTAAAATGAACGCTCGCAGTAACAAAACCACGGAGAGACAGCGAATGGCCATAACTTCAACCAAAGAAGAATTGGTATTATTAGATAAAGATAGAACGTTTGTCAGCGTTTCAGGACAACAGGTGATTGGATGAGAACGTTCCACGACGACGGCTTATTGGATAAGACAAACTGAGCAGTTTTCTTTTGTCACTCCTTCTTATACTTTATCTTATGTAATGCTTTGTATTATAGCAGAGTTGAGTTACGTTTGCTTGTTCTTACGTTTTCTTCTTTATGTAGACGGAAACGTCGAAGTAAAGTAGATAAGCCTTATTTAAAGTTCAAGAAGAATCAATTTGATCATAGAGAATGTACTTCAATAAAATACCATTCCTTCCTATTAGGGAACGTAAACCTTCCTATGATTTCACATTTTAGCAATAAGTTTGTGTAGCCACTCTGATCAAATACTCTTAAGTGTAACAGGCATGAACTTATCATCTAATGAACTATTTACAAATGTACAAATTCTACACTTTTACTCAAATAAACGTTTACACTTAATAATTACTACATGGTATGTATGAATGAAAATAATTTGAGTAATTTTTTTTCTCGTTTTCTGTAAAAAAAGGAAAAGCCCCGTATTTCATAGTTTTCCCCCCAGTCACTAAACAAAGTAAAAGTTAATAAAGTGTAATATTTGTCGCCTGGAGAAATAGATGTGTAGTCTTAAATCAGTACTCATTTTTATCGCTGAATTAACTGTAAAAAAAAAATCAGTTTAATTTCTCATTTGTACTTTTTTAGTTTATAATACGTCAGAAATAATACGAATGATTTTGTTTATATTGTGAATCGTGATGGCGTTCTTTGAATTATCATACAACTATCATTAGATATTTGATAATTTTCACTAGCAAAGAAATGAATCGCCTGAGTTCAAACAGTTTGAGTCCACTATACCAATCAATAAAACAGATGCTGGAGAAAGGAAATTTCCCTTAAACATTTAAGATACAAATGTGGGACTCTGTAGAATACAAATTTATCAACAACATGAATGTTCTAGTGTAATAAACTAGCTGGTAAGTCCTGTCGATAATTTTCATGGTAGTATATCATATTCTGGTTTTATTCCAAGGTCCCTGACATCTCTTCTTCCTGACAAAGTCAACTGCTACACATTAGAAGTTAGCTTCTACGGATATCCGAAGCACGGAAGTGCTAAGAACATTATTCCGTATTTAGAGGAAGATTGTATCCTTTTCTGAAGGTCTTATTAAACTACAAATGTAAATAAAAACATCTCATAAACGTTTCTTTACAAAAACAAGTAACCGGAAACATTGCTGAAGAGTAAGTACTTGGGTTCATTCCTTATATATTAATGTTACTAAATGTGAACATGAAAACAACAAGTCTTTAACTCGAGTATTTTGTTGGTGAATTATTTTTGTTTTTAGATCTGTCATATTCTGTACAGTTATTTCAAATAGCAGTAAGATTGAGATTGTTGTATGAATGTTTTGTAAAAGAAAAGAATATGTAGTAGATTCCGGGCGTTCGTTTGTAATTTATTTATATGATAAAAAATTAGGTAAGAGACGTGGTCCAAAGGTTAGCTTGTCGAGCTGCGGATTAAAAGGTTCAAGGTTCGAGACGTAATTCTGTTAAACATGTATCGCATTTTCCAGCTGTGGGTATATTGCAAAAGTAACAGCCAATCCCGCTATTCGGTTTGAGCACCCTGACAAGCCTTTTGTTACAACGGGTACTTCTCACTGTCTTCGCTCACTCTGGTCAATATCCAAAATTAGAGATGGCTGTACCTGGATCCCATGGGTCTCTAATCTAGTCATTATGCTTATTTACATATAAGGTGTAGTTCCGGTTGAAAAAAATAATAATACCAACAAAAACCTTAGCTGCTAAAATGCTTTATGAGTGAGGGAAAATTTAGTTACAATTTGTTAACCTAAGACTACTGAAGAAATTCAAATGAAAGTAAGCATTGACAGTTCCTGTTCCTTCATTGTTTTTAAACAGTGTTTCACTGTCAAAGTGGAAAAGAATAACAATGAAATAAAATAAAGCTGTTTTAAATGAGAGAAAACAGTGGGATCTCGCAAAAAGTAAATGGCCCGGTATGGCTAGGTAGTTAGGGCGCTCGACTCGCAATCTGTGGGCCACGGGTTCGAATCCTTGTCTCACCAAATATGCTCGCCCTTTCAGCCGTGGGGGCATTATAATGTGACGGTTAATCCCACTATTCGTTTGTTGTTGTTTTTGTAAAAGAGTAGCCTTTGAGTTGGTGATGAGTAGTAATGGCTAGCTACCTTCCCTCTAGTCTTTCACTGCTAAATTAGGGACAGCTAGCTTTGCGTGAAATTCATAACAAACAAACAGACAATAGTTTGTGTCCCTGAGGACTCACGTGAGATGAGGCATGCGACCTTCTCATTTTTCTGTATATTATCCTCGATCGTTTAGAGATCATTTTCTTGGGAGTCTATGTAATGAGATTTAATTCGAAAAAAAAAACATTTGAAGAGACAAATGTTACGTATTACAATTTTGAATGGTCTGAAACCGACGTAAATGATAATTTAGTAGTTAAATAAATGCCGATATGTATCCAATTTATGATATTTGCAAACAAGATTAATACACACAGTTTCTTCTTTCATACAAATATGTTTTAATATATAAACAAGAATACAATTTACAATAACAGTTATTACGAATAGTTGTTACAAACAATGATTTATATACAAAAGTTTTACAAACGTTCAAGCAATATAAAGTCTTCTTTCTAGTCTGGTACTTCCTTAATGTCTTATCGAGGGTTCACGATGAGCGAGTTAATTTCGGGTTGACGTAGGTACAATTCACTTAACGGGAAGCTAGCTAGCTTTGTCTCTCACTGATCACATGCCAATTTTTCTACCGTTGACGTTATGTAATGTTTCCATAAAGATACTAATGTCCGATGAGAATCCACAGAAGTTAAATGAGTTGTAATGTTCGAATTTTGTAAATGCTCCTGGTCAAATGTCTGAGGTTTTCCGATTGATAAGCGTTATAAAAATTACAGTTATAGCTTTCGAAGTTTATAACACAGTGATTATAGTGAACTACTAATAGACACTCTTCTTGGCGCATCGCATTGGTTATAGTTATAGGCGTGTGGAGAGTTTCTCGAAATTTCAGCTTTACGTAACAATACTGATGCTAACACTAGCGTTTACGTGCAAACATATATTATTGATTCTTACACTCGAGAATCTTCTACAACTTTAGAGAATAGGCGGAAGTTTCACAATACATATTTAACAGTAATTTAATTTAAACAAACATCTATATTAAAATAAATATAGAATAATAAATCCGTCACATAAACTTTTGAATATTGTTACTTGTAATGTCGCGTTGAACTAATGAGTTTCATTCGCAGTGATAGACTCGCTGCTACTGTAAGCCCTCTGGTGTACTCAGTATGAAACATTGCTTCTCCTCAGGACTCTGAGAAGTGTAATCAGATCCCTTATTCTCAAGCTGTAAGTTTTAACTTGATTACGCAATTCAACGAGGATCACTCAACATAATGGTAAGTTATCTATATTTCTCAAAAACAAAGAACATGCTATTTGTATAGTCTAAAAGTTATTTGTTTTGCAATTAGCTTTTCCAAACAAGATTCTCTCCAGACTTCAGAACAAGCCGAACAAAAGTGTTTTCCGTATATTATAGTTCACAATCCTTTGTTTAAACAAGATGTTTAGGCACAATTACTTCTTTTAAGTTAATGGTCATACTGCCCTTAAAAAAATGCTCAGTTACGACTCAAAGTATATCTTTCATAGTCGGCGTTACCCTGAGATATTCTTCTACCACAGATACAATTGAATCAACCTGACGGTGACCTTAGGGAAACGCAGTGTTTTTTAAAGAATAAAAATAAGTTTTTAAAATACATTACTTGTTTTATCGATAAACAAAACTTAAATTTTCATGTTACAAGTTCTTCCTTAAATTTAACCCAAAGAAGTTTGTTTGGTTGAAAAGTAGCCCGACCTAGTTTTGTTTGTCTTTAACCTTTTTAAACTATTTTTACTCTCGTATTTTCAAAGGTTTGCAGATATAATTGCTTAGTATTTATGTGGGTAAATAATTTTCTTTCGCTTTTCATCTTTTTTTTTAAATTTTTTCCTTCTAAATTACGCTAAAAACCGGGTTTCGATACCCGTGGTGGGCAGAGCACAGATAGCTTTGTGTAGCTTTGTGCTTAATTCAAAACAAACAAACCTTTTGAATATTTTAACTACTTTGTAGCTGTAATTGTTTATTAGTTAGTTTGCTTTCTGGTTATTAGATGCAACTCCTATTTTCAAAATTCTGATGTCTGCTTCCTTAAAATTAGACATGTTGAAAATTATTAAAGAAAGTTAAGGCGTTTTAAAATATTGACCAATAAGCTTTACTTATTCCCTCAAGGTCCATAGTTTTCCTATATTTCTTGAAAAATTAAATCATTGAAAGCTAAATTATGGGTGCTGTTTTTGATTGACATGAACCTCTAACTATAACATTTACAAACTGTCAAGAAAGGATAAGCACAGTTTTAGATAGATAGATATTTTATATAAGGAGCAAGTTTATAATCTTTTTAAGTGGAAACATAAGATCAATATATTTAACTAGCTGTACTCATTACTTGGTTGATTTTTAGTTCTAATCTGCGTAGGTAATTTATCAGAAGTTAGTGTTAATTATGTATATATTCATCAACTGGTGACAATCAACTGGTGACCTTACAATCATCAACCAGATTTTTATACGTTCTTCAGGTTTACATAAAAGTAATAATTAGAATTACTCTTTAAATACATTTGTTTCCGATAGGCTTCAACCTTACAATCATCAACCAGATTTTTATACGTTCTTCAGGTTTA